TACCTGCAAGATCTAAAAGCTACTTCGACGAAATCATACTAGTTCTAGCTCAAGCTCGTTGCCCACTCAAATAACTTTGTAGCGCTAAATGTAGGGATAACGTGCGTCTTGCTGAAGCAATTGAGGCATTGATGGAGAATCTTTGGTCTTTGGATTCTATTATAGTTCTTCCTTTAATACTAAGAAAGTGATTGGGTTCGATTGTAAAGAATGTTTGGGTTGAACTATTGAGCTGACGAGTGTCAAAAAGTTTCTAGTTAGCTCAGTTTCTTTGCGCGTGGCCGCACTTCAAGGGAGGGATTACGGTAAAGAGGGAGCGCATCGAAAAAGTATGTGCGCCACCGGAAGCATATTTGGCATGGTGCCACCAAAACCGCGTTGCGATAAACTCGTCCACCTCCGCTGTCTTGGCCGTTGCCCGTCCACTAAAGAAAATTAACGACCAAACAACGTACCCAGTGTGTTTTTGTTTTCTGACGAATTTTCTGCTTTTTTCTCTATTGGCGTACCAGTGAGCACTTCCCGGTCTCCCATAAGCCTCTCCAAAACCTCCGTAATCGCTGCCTTTGAACAGAATAGATAGCAATCTCCAATTCTTAGAACCCGACATAGATGTAATTGTAACGTTTTTCTTGTGCCAACTAGGTATTTAAGGAACATCGGGCCATTATCAAATCCCATCTTAAAACCATGTTGGCAAGCGAAAAACATTAGGCGCGCATGTCGTTAGGGAGACATTGAAGTGAGTTAGCCGAGGGGGGGGGAGACTAAGCCTTAGGAGAGAAGGGATTCTGGACGAGAGGTGAGCCCCTTGTGACCTTTCCTCTGTCATTTCTCCCCTCTCTTGGACTCAGCTCTAGCGTCACCTACCAGCGGTTTTAAATGCCCTGTTTTGAATGTCCCACCGCCACCCCCAAGGACATGAGCGCCAAAGGCTAGAACAGATAGCGATGTCCTCCTTTTGCGCTTCAGCGTAAATTTTACGCTAAACGGTGTTCACTACTTTGCCGTGGTAGAGTTCTTTTGGCAGGCGGCGTAATCTGGCCATTTAGAATTGTTGATTGTGTTTGCGCTGCCTTTTCCGTGGCAGCCGTTGGTGATGGAATGGCGCTGTCGACGCGCGAAGTCGTCGAAGCCGTCGGACGGCTGCGGCGATGGCGGCGGCGGCGGCAGCAGCCAGCAGCAGCGATGTCTGCTAATCGTTCTTGTACATCTAAATGGACTCAACCGCCTTCAGGCATCGGATTCAGTGTCGGGATTTCGGGCAGGAGTGAGAGTGAGAGCGAGAGAGCGAGGGTACGAGATCGATAGAAAGCTGCCCTCGCTCTTCCACTTCTCCTTTCAACCGCAAACGCCGCTGACGTGCCGAAGTGCGCTTCTCGCGCGTGCTAGTATCGTATGGCGTCAGTTCAGACGGCCTCGATGGCGTGAAACGTCTGCATCTTCCATCGCATTCCTTTCCTTTTAATTGTTCTCCTTTCCGCCACTCACATCTCACTCGATCATGCATCATGTTTTATAGTCTCCTCTGACGGAAGTCACTCTTTGATTTGTGAGCCTAGTTTCCCCTGGAAACACCTTATTCAAAAGTCTGCATGTTTGTTGAGAGCAGGTAGACGATTTCCCGGAAAAATCCCATCTCATTCTTCCAAACGGAATTCTCCATTCCATTTCTTCTTCAGTTTCCACAATTCCCATTGCAATTAGTTCAGTTCTTTCCTGCCCGCTATCTCTCAGTTTTTGACACATAAAAGCTTTTCCCAGGTCGAGCTGGTGCTCTGTAAAGCCTTCAATGTCGGTACCTATAGAATTCTGATGCTGAAAAATAATAAGCATTATCTATACTACAGCCTATGGACAACATCCGAGCGTACGGGACAGGATTAGCTGGCGGGCAGTTCGATGCAGGCACATTCTTCCGAAAGCCGACCGTCATCTTTAGGTCTATAGCACTGGTGAGTGATTGACATAAATTTAAGACCGTACTGCGGAGAAAACACGTCTGAAGAATGTGAGGTTTCTTTGCAACTCTATAAAACGATATTGCCACAATGCGGCTCAGAGGAGGGATGGGGACTATGGGGTGATAACCCCTATTGCTTCGAATCCACGGAAACGCTCAGTTTTAGAACTAAGCTTCAGAAGAGAAGATAGAGAAGAGGGAATCCGATGTGCGTAAGTAATTCTTATTCTGTCTGGAATTCGTCTGTCTCCACTAAGCATAGTGCCCTTCCTACAGACGACTCTCGTTTTAGGACTAAGCCTCAGAAGAGAACAGGGACTTCGAGGTGCGTAAACAATTCTCATTCTTCCCGAAATTCTTCCCTCTCCATTAGGCCTAGCTAGTGGCTTTTCTGCAGACGCCCCCCCCCCCTTCAGAAGCACATTGCGCCCAAATAGGGTTTCCTAGTAACTTTGCCAGTTACTGTGCGCATAATTCGAGTATTCTGAATAAAATGTCTACCAGCGACGTCTATCACACAGAAATATCATACTCGAAATTACTTTCCATTACTTAGAGTGGTAATGAGTAACCAAAGAAATGCTACATGATTTTCCATAGCAATGAAATCGTTCTATTCAATATAATATTTGACATTCCCTGCTTTACAGCAGATTTGTATCAAGAGCATTTCTCCTATTCTGTGTTCCTTTCTTAATAACAACTGAAAGGAAAAACGTACTATGGAGCACGATCTCTATCGATAAATCAGCCTAAATCACTGGGTTTAATGTAAATGGAAGACGAAAGACTAAAAGTTGGGCGATTTTTTCGAGTCTAATTCCAGGCTCTTACTGCACTACAAGCCAAAGGTTGATGAAACCTTGCTGGGATAGCAGTTCAAATAAATCAGTTGATTATGTTTATGTTTATTCTGTGATATGATGCTTTCTCCCATAGGTAAAGTGGCCGATGCAGAGTCCTGGGAATGGTTGCTTGATGCTCAGCTTGGTTGCCATTTCCCGTCTGCTCGACAATAGCTCACTCAGACA